ATCCAGAGCTTTTTCTAGTGCTTCTGCCGTCAGAGCAGTACTTAGAAGCCGGAGTTGCAATTGTATCATCAAGAACCTGAATATAAATTAGCCTGTTATATATTAATTTAGCCTTACATGCCATTAGCCTTAGCAATCATCTTGTAAATCACCTCCTCTCTCTAAGGTTAATGTCTTCAGATAGAAACTCCTTGAGGATTTGGTGTTGGTCAATTTGGGCTATGATATATAATCTTATATCCCCTTCATTTGCTTGCAATTTCAAAATAGAAGTAGAAGGCTGAGAGGGCAGAACTAGATGTAGCCTAGACATTATCATAATATTGACATTTCCTCCTAGCTGGAGAAATTGGGTGAGTAATGAATGGTATTCACCATGTTGATATTCATCCATTGCATCTACCACAATATAGACAGTTTTGAAGGTAGCAACCAATGCTGATGTAAGCTGTTGGATCTCAGGTAAGTTAGGCTTTGTGTCTTTGGCCCTGTGGGAGTTGTAGAGGCTTCTAGCCTGTGACATATCCTTGTTTATAGTTAGCTGTCTCCAAATAGATGCTAACAAATTCTTTTCAGTCTGAAGTTCACTCTCTTTGTCGTTCAGATAGACTGAAGCCACTCCAATGTCAGAGTTCTCCTCCAGCTGCTGAAGCTGGGCAAGATGGTCTACAACTTTGGATCTATGAAGAATACTCAGTATATATATGATTATGTAAACTCTGAAATATTACGCAAGCACTGTTTTACCCATGTGAACAATACTCAGTTCCTTATCCAACCGTGTCTTTTAGACTCACGGATCCCTGTACACCAAAGTATGCTTCCTGTTGTTGACTTCCATTTCAAGAATTCTGGATGCTCCAAGAGCCAGTTACCAGTATTCTTCGTTCGAATTTCTGAGATGGCCTGATGACGGAGGAAGAAGTTGATTGGTGAAATCCATTCAATCAGGGACATGTTTTCTTGGACTGTGATAGATGATTATTATTTATATATAACACTTGCTACACCTACACTCTGTGTTTGCTGCACCATGTATACTATTGATTTTTTAAATTAGATTAGCGTAGCGGTATGCACACCAATACACACTGAGTATTATCTCCCATGAGATTCAAGTTGATTTGAGGGCCATGGCCATCACCTCCATGTCCACCAGCAGAGCCTCCACCCCCACCAGTACCACCTACAGTAGTCATTAGCAGTCCACCAGCCAGGACAGACCATACCCATGATAGTGACAACGGACATTGCAAGCTGTGAGATGGTGTTGGTGGTCAAGGGCAAGAGGGTGTACGTGGAAGCAACGTGTAAGTCGGCACTTGCTCGATGATCGATTGGAATTCCGGGAATCTGACAAGTGTCCGACACTGATTCGAGAGTCCTGATTGGTTGACTCGGAGCTTCTCTCTTGACTCTTACCGCAACAAGCCTCGTGGACAAAACACGCCGTAGGCTACGACGTAAGTACTCTGCGACAGGCGCCCCGCCCGCCGCGCCACCAGGACAAACGGGACGCTTCGGATGGGGCTGGCCGCGGCCTCCCCGCACAACCGCTCAAGCCGCGGAGCACCATCGAACACAGGTCTAGCAGCAGGCCCATTTTACTAATCATCCCTATTTCGCTCGCTTAAACTCAGTTAGCGCCAGCGCGAACATGGGAGCGCAAATGGATGCCGTCTCACCGAACGTGGCGGACCGGGGCGCTCGGCGGCGCTGTTGTAACGCGGGCTTGTCGCATTATATTCAGCTTGTTTATCTACATGTTGACTGTCCCTCGTGAGCGCGAGGCATGGAGGGTCCCTTTGGGCGTATGCGGTTGCGCGGTCGGCGACGAGGCGGTCGTACTCGGCGCCGACGAAGCCGGAGAACGAGCTCGGCCACGTGCGGCAGCGTGCTCGTGGCCACGGCTGGTGCGGTAAGGGGCACGGCGGGGCCCGATGGCTGCAGCGTGCGGTGCTGTGGGCGACAGGTTATGCCATTGCGCTCTCCAACACTGGCAGCAGTCTCTCGGCCGAATCCGCCACAATAAACCAGTCCGCGCTGATATCCGTGAGCGTGGGCTGGGTGCGAGGTTCTTGTCGCGCGGCGATGCACGGGGAAGGCGGGGCTTCGACGCGGACGCCGGCGGGCGGAGAGCGGCGGAGGGCCCGTCGGAGAAAGACGATCGAGTCCTCGATCGATCGAGGATGTGGTGTGCTTGGCGCGGGCGACGAGGTGCGTGCTTGCGTTGCTAGTCACGCCAGAGATTCTCGGCCCGCTGAGCCCTGCACTGTGGACGGCGTGCCGGCCCGGGCACGGAGGTGCGATTTCCGTGCTGCAGCTCCAGCTTGTACAGCGCTTGGCAGATGACTCTCAGTTCCAGTTCCTACGCGTACGTCAGCGAAAAGCCAAGAGATGTCCACAGGCCAACGGGCGACACGTCCTTATTCTCGTACTCGCCTCTAACGCGACCGCGTCGGCGCGCTGGGCCAACCCGATAGCGGGGCCAAGCCGGCCTGGGTAGCCGGCTCCGGGCGAGCTCCGACGCCTCGAAACCGCCACGGGCTTGGCTCAAATGGCCGCAGTTCAGCAACACTGGAAGCGGGCCGTTGACCAACCGGGCCACGCGCGGGCGCAGCGAGCTGGCGTTGGCCAATGCTGACGGACGGGCGGGTGATGGCGGGGGACCCCTGGCGGCTGCGGGCGCGGTGCTACCTCAGCGTTAAAAATTTGACAAGGAAACGCACGTTGTATGTACCCTTCGACCTATTAATCCTGGAGGTCTGGAAGGGAGCTCGGCGGCTCTTATAGTGCCCACGGGTCACTATAAGACCCATAGTCACTACATTGTCGCATCTGCATAATACTCCACGCAGGTTAGGGGCGGGGAAGTGCCAGCGGCGCGTTGTTGTTGGAGGAAAGAAAAGAAGATCGTCACTATGATCTTCGTGACGTGATGTGAAGAGCGCGCAGGTAATCGGCAATCAATCACCTCGTGCTTCTTTCCTTCTTTTCCCGCCTCTCGCAAGCCTCCCGCCGCGCCAGCGCACGGCATGCAGGGAACGACTTCCCGCCGTGCCCCATCGCCTCTGCGGCCTGCCAGACGCAGCGCACGTGCTCTCCTCTGCTCGTTATGCGGCCACTCGCACTTTGCGCTAAGGACCATGTTGGGAGCCTGAGCGCCACTCTCACCGCGACCATGACACCGAGCGATCCGTTTGGATGGGGGACCGCGAGCAGACGGGGCCGGGGGAATGGTGAGCGCGGGGGACTGCCGAGCAGGCGCAGGGGAGGTCGGCCCGACGTGTTACGTTGGATACAGCGTGGGTATTGTGGGGATAGCGCGCGCCGGCCACGGAGCAGAGCCTTTTGGCCGTGGACCGAGTGGGTCCCGGTGGCGAGCGCGATAAAAGTCAGTGACGGGTAAAGGCTGGCAAACTCGGCCGACGGCTCCCAAGACTGTCGACCGACGAAAACGTTAGGACCATGTAAGGGCAACCCCGGAGGCCTGAGATCAAGGTCTAGCAGGGGAGGATCCAAAGCGTGAACATTGGTAAGCAAATACAAATGAAGCTGACCTAGCAGGGGAGGATCCAAAGAGAAGAAACTCTAAGGGTCCGCCTGCTAGGGAGCTGACTATATACTGCTTGTCCGTAGCTGCCGCTGTCGGGCACAGAAGGCTTGGGCGGCGTCGCAGGCAAGGTCCCAGGGCGACCGTTGGGAGGGCGTTGACGGATCGGTGATTGTGCGGGCGAGATGGAGGGCCGGACCGGAGTCGGAACCGGAGTCGGACCGGAGTCGGAGGCGTCTCCGAGGGGCCAAAAGGGAGGTTCCCCTGACATCACCCCCCCCTTTGAATGCGGCGTCCCGACGCATAGACCGGAACGGAATCGAGTCGAAGGTCGCGGAGGCGATGTGTCGTGGCTTGCCAGGGTACTTACAATAGAACTCCGCGATTTTCTCCGGGGCGAAGACGCGGTCGAAGCGGACCCACTGGTCGTGCGACGCGTCGTAGCCTTTCCATCTGACGAAGTAATTCAGCCGTTTATACCTCACCCTTGCGTCCAAGATTTCCTCTACTTCCCACTCCGGGACTCCGTCCTCGAGGTCCAGAGGGGGCTGGTCGTAGCCGGGGCGTCCGTCGAAGGGGTCGTCCTGGGCGAGCTCGAGCTTGACGACGGGGAAGACCGGGTGGAGCTTCGAGTAGCGCGGAGGGAGGTCGAGCTTGTAGGCACCTTTGCTGATCTCCACGACTATCTTGAACGGTCCGAGGCGGCGATGAGAGAACTTTTCCGAGGGGCGAGTCGTCCTGATGTCAGAGGCATCCAGCCAAACACGGTCGCCAACCTTAAACTCCGGAGACGGAGTGCGTCTCCGGTCGTAGTAGCGCTTGTACTCCTCTTTGGCCTTAGTGAGCACGGCCTTGGCTTCAGCAACACCAGTGGCAATCCAGTCGCGGAACTCGTTCACCGACTCCATGGCGGAACGGACTCCGGGTTCGTGCGCGTGCGCGCTGGCGGCGTGATGGGGGACTACACCAGCAAAGAGGGCAAAGGAGAGGTGGGACGGCCGCTCAACACTCAGCGGTCCTCCGCGGGTTGAACGGTGAAGTGCTGCGTGCCAGTGCAGGGTTCTGTCTGTCTGACCGTCGGAGCGGGTGCCGCAGCGGGTCCACTGGCAGCCGACTAGTATCGGTGTCCTCATATTAGTCCGAGAAGTAGGGCCTGGAAGGCCTGTCGGTCCGAACAGCGCAACAGGCGGGGCGATAGTCGCACCTGTCTCACAGCACTCGTCTTAGTCCACGCGTGTGTTCGCAAGTTGTTGCCACGGAGGCGGTTCGCGCGGAGTGGAGGTGGGAGTCAAGAGAGAAGATCAAGGCTTACCACATCGATCAGCCTCGGACACTTGTTAGACGCCCGACATTTCCCAGCATCAGCCAAATCTATCATCGAGGAAGCGCCGACTCCCACGGCCAGTGCATCTTGCTCTTGACTACCACCATCCCCTCACAGCTTGCAATGTCCGTCGTCAATGTCGCAGGTAGGGTTTTCCCTTGTAGTGGACTGCAAGTAACTGCTGTAGGTGGTACTGGCGGAGGTGGAGGCTCTGGTGGAGGACATGGGGGAGATGGCTATGGCCCTCAAATCCATGTGACTGGAGATTATACCCAGTGTGTATGACACTTGCATTGTATATCATTCTGATATGAATCTATAGCATACATGGTGCAGCAAATACAGAGTGTAGGCATAGCAAGTTTTATGTATTAACAATAATCTATTGCAGTCCAAGAAGACATTACCTTGATTCAATGGATCTCACCAATCAACTTCTTCCTCCGGCATCAGGCTATCTCTGAGATCCGGAAGAAGAATACTGGGGACTGGCTTTTGGAGCATCTAGAATTCTTGAAATGGAAATCAGTAACAGGGAGCATACTTTGGTGCACAGGGATTCGTGAGTCTAAAAGACATATTTGGTTACAAAAAAACTAACCACTGTTGATAGCTGGCATGGGTAAGACAGTGCTTGCGTAATAGTCCTGAGTTTTCATAACCATATATACTGAATATTGTTTGCAGATCCAAAGTTGTAGACTATCTTGCCCAGCTTCAGCAACTGGAGGAGAATTCCAAAATTGGAGTGGCTTCGGTCTATCTGAACTACAAAGAGACAGAGCTTCAAACTGAGAAGAATTTGCTGGCAGCTATCTGGGGACAGCTAACCATAAACAAGGATATGTCACAGGCCAGAAACCTCTACAATTCCCACAGGAGCAAAGGCACACATCCTGGTTTATCTGAGATCCACCAGCTTACCTCAGCACTGGTTGCCACCTTCAAAGCTGTCTATATTGTGGTGGATGCAATGGATGAATATCAACATGGTGAATATCATCCATTACTCAGACAGTTCCTCCAGTTAGGAGGAAATGTGAATATTATGATAATGTCTAGGCCTCATCTTCTTCTACCCTCACAATTTCCTGTTGTCAGTCTACAGTTGCAGGCAGATGAAAGAGATATGAGATCCTATATCACAGCACAGATTGACCATCATCAAATCCTGAAGGAGTTTCTATATGAGGATATGAATCTTAGAGAAGAGGTGATCAACAAGCTGATTGTCAAGGCTAATGGCATGTAAGTCTGAACATTTACTACCATATGACAAGCTTAAATATATTCAGGTTCTTGATGGTGCAACTACAACTTCAGCTTCTGAGTAATGCTCTGACAGTAGAGGCACTAGAACAAGCTCTAGATGACTTGCCAGATGATCTGGGTATTGGATATGGCAGAACCATAGATTATATTAAGCTCCAACCAGAAAATCAAGCAGAACTTGCAATACTTGCTCTGGGATGGATTTCACATGCAAACCGTCCACTAAGGGTCATTGAACTGCAGACAGCACTCGCTATGTCAACAAAAACCACACTACTGCCAAATGATAAGCAATTAATTAGAATAGGCCATATTATCAAGATATGCTGTGGGCTCATTACACATGACAAAGGATCAAATGTTGTGCGTCTTGTACACTTTACCACTCAGGCCTTCCTAGAGAAGATCAGATCTGCTGAGTTCCCAGATATGGATGTTAGGATCACACATACCTTGTGTATCTATGTGCACTTAGTAGATGAGCTAAATAGTGATAATCCTCTGCTTGAATATGCCCAGAATATTCTGTTTCATGCAAAGGGTCGGGGAGAAGTAGTTCTTCAGTCAGAGTTGATTCAATGCATAGAACATATTCTAGTGAGGAATTACATGCATATTGAAAAGTCTGGCTGGTGGTCAGAGCCATGGGACAACTTAAGGGTCACAACATCAACATTAACTCCTCTGTCTGTTACAGTAACAGGAAATCTACTCCAGTTATCACAATATATTTTAAGTTGTATAAAAGGTCAGGATATAGCAATTATTTTTGCAGCTCTACAGGGTCATGAAGAGGTGTGCAAACTACTGTTTGCTAAGGACAGACAAGGAGCAGTAAATCTGGTGGATGACTCTTATGGGACTGTGTTACATGCAGCTGCAGTGGGGGGCAACAAAGGAATTCTTCAATTATGTATAGAAAACAATTGTGAAGTAAACAAGATTGGTGGAACGTATGGAACTGCTCTTCAAGCTGCTGCCAATGAGGGACACACAGAGACTGTACAGCACCTGCTCAAGTCAGGTGCACAGGTGGATTTGGTTGCAGGGGTGTATGGAACTGCTCTTCAGGCAGCTGCTAAGAGGGGACACATAGAGACTGTGAAGGTCCTGCTCAACTCAGGTGCACAGGTGGATCTGGTTGCAGGTCCTTATGGGACTGCTCTTCAGGCTGCTGGATATCAGGGACACACAGAGACTGTGCAACTCTTGCTCAACTCAGGTGCACAGGTAGATCTGGTTACAGGGGAGTATGGAATCGCTCTTCAAGCTGCTGCATATGAGGGACACATAGGGACTGTGCAGCTCTTACTCAACTTAGGTGCACAGGTGGATCTGGTCTCAGGACACTTTGGAACTGCTCTTCAGGCTGCTGCATATGAGGGACACATAGGGACTGTGCAGCTCTTACTCAACTTAGGTGCACAGGTGGATCTGGTCTCAGGACACTTTGGAACTGCTCTTCAGGCTGCTGCATATGAGGGACACATAGGGACTGTGCAGCTCTTACTCAACTCAGGTGCACAGGTGGATCTGGTCTCAGGACACTTTGGAACTGCTCTTCAGGCTGCTGCATTTGGGGGACATATAGAAACTGTCCAGCTCTTACTCAACTCAGGTGCACAGGTGGATCTGGTTGCAGGTCCTTATGCGACTGCTCTTCAGGCTGCTGCATTTGGGGGACACACAGAGACTGTGCAACTCTTGCTCAACTCAGGTGCACAGGTAGATCTGGTTACAGGGGAGTATGGAACCACTCTTCAAGCTGCTGCATATGAGGGACACATAGGGACTGTGCAGCTCTTACTCAACTCAGGTGCACAGGTGGATCTGGTCTCAGGACACTTTGGAACTGCTCTTCAGGCTGCTGCATTTGGGGGACATATAGAAACTGTCCAGCTCCTGATCAACTCAGGTGCACAGGTGGATTTGGTTGCAGGACACTATGGAACTGCTCTGCAGGCTGCTGCATCTATGGGAAATACAGAAACTGTGCAGCTCCTACTCAACTCAGGTGCACAGGTGGATTTGGTTGCAGGGCCCTATGGAACTGCTCTTCAGGCTGCTGCATCTCTTGGATTTACAGAAACTGTCAAGCTCCTGCTTAACTCAGGTGCACAGGTGGATCTGATTGCAGGATACTATGGAACTGCTCTTCATGCTGCTGCATATGAGGGACATACAGAGACTGTCCAGCTCCTGATCAACTCAGGTGCACAGGTGGATCTAGTCACTGGGAAGTACAGAACACCTTTGCTGGCTGCCTTACATTCTTTCAATTCCCCTTGGAGGCTCAAAACTAACATCTATCACATTATCTCCACTCTCCTCAATGCTGGTGCAAAAAAGAAATATCCAGTCATCTACAACCCAGTAACACAAAACACCATCTGGTCTCTTCTCTTGAGACCACATAAGGGAAACCATATCTTGACACCAGACAAACCATTGATCTGCACCATGTGTGATTTGGCCTGTGGGATGGCTGTCTCTGGCACTACACCAGATCATCCTCACTTGTACTATGATGATGATAAGAATGATGCTGATGGTAATAATAACGTGGATTAGAGTCACCACGACAACTGAGATGAAAACGGGAGGATCTGATAAGATTGCTGTTCTACTTATTGGGTCTTTTTATATTCATTTTTCCCAATAAATAAAGGTGGCCCTTTTTGGGGTCATTATTACCTTAATTAAAATTTAAAAAAATCCTCCAGTTTTGTTCCCATTCCTCGGGCTGAGTCTCATAGGTAGCTGGAACCTATATCATGTGAATGAAAATTTATTTATCCTAATCTTCGTATAATCAAGTCAATTCATTCATCCCAATCCCATTAAGCACACCCTAACCACCCACCCCCTACGCATAGCTCCACACCCGCGCCAAGCTGTCCCCGCTGCCCGTCGCGAGCAGGTTCGCCCGCGGGGCTGAGGTCGATCGAGATGACCGAGTTCTTGTGCCCCTGGAGGAGCGCGTGCACCGCGCCCGCGCGGTCCCAGAACTGCACGCCGTGGTCCTTCGAGCCGGACACGATCCACTGCGCGTCGTGCGAGACGGCGACGGAGAGGACGTAGTCCTCGACGTTTATTAATATTTTTTGGGCAATAAAATGGAATAGGGACACGCACCTTGTGCCCGAGGAAGTCCCGCGTGCAGACGGCGCGGCCCTCCGGCGCGGCGCCCGCCTCCGTCTTCACCCTGCCCCCGCCCGCGAGCGCGGACACGTCCCAGTGCTTGAGCGTCTTGTCGAGGCTCCCGCTGACCACGCCGCGCCCGTCCGGGCGTGAACACCACGCTGTACACGCTGTCGCGGTGCCCGCGGAGGCGCTCCAGCAGGACCCCGCTGTCCGCGTCCCAGATGCGCACGACGTTGTCCAGCGACCCCGCGGCGATGTACCGCCCGTCCGGCGACAGCGCGACGCTCGTCACGCCCGCGTCCGGGCCCTCGCGCCCGCCGTCGCGGGTGGTGGACGGCGACGACGCGGGCTCGTCGACGGCGAGGATAAGCGGCGGCCCGCCGTCCATGTCCCACACGCGCGCGGTCCGGTTGCCCGAGCCGGACACGATGCGCCCGGCCGTCGCGTGAGAAGTCGAGCGAGTAGATTTCTTGCGTGTGCCCGCTGAAGATCTGTGCGACGGTGCCTTTGGTGATGTCCCATATCTGGGGCGACGTCAGCAAGTGTGGAAGAGAAGGTAGAGGGTGGGAAACGGGAGTGGACAAGAACGAGGGAAGGAGAGAGATAAATGAAAGAGAAAGCAAGCGGTTGAAGGGAAGCAACACGCACCCTGATCTTCCGGTCCTCCGCCCCCGTCGCCAAGAACCGCCCGCCCGGGCTGAACCTTACGCTCCGGATATAGAGGTCGCCTGCTGGTCCACTCACGTCGTCCACGAGCACGCTTCCCACCTCTCTCAACGGTTGAAAATGATAGTTGAGTGAACACGCACCTCGTCTTCCGGCCTGTCTTCACATCGAAAATCTGCGCCGACCTGTTGCACCCCGTTGCCAAATAGCGCCCGTCCACGGAGAACTGGACACAACAAACAACGCTCCACCCACATGAGCTCATCCGCCTCCAATCGCACACAAAAAGGCTGTGACACTCACGTCGCATGCGCAAATGTATGCAACAACTGCACGCCCTCCAACCGCCGCGGCCTAATCCTTCTTCATGTCCGCGGGGAGGCTCGCGATGTCCAGCCCGTCGACCCACGCCGGGAAGGCCCGCCGAGACCCGGCCCCGCGCTGCGCGACGCCTGCAGCTCGGGGCGCGGAGGTGGGCGATCTCCTCCTCATAGCACGTGCGGAGCTTGCCGTGCTGCGCCTCCAGCTCGTACAGCGCTTGGCCGATGATGTTGAGCTCGTTTATCTGGGTGTTGACTACCTTTGGATCAGCGAGGGCGGGAAGAGATGAGAGAAGAGGGCAAGACACACACCCTTGTTCTCATATTCGTCCCTAAGAGCGTAGGCCGTGGCGCGGTGATAAGCCGCAGTCTGGGACAGACCAGGAAACGACTATTTTTGTCGATTTTGTTGCTCAGCGCACGTCTCAGAGTTGACATGAGTCCCGAATGGTCAACTAGGGAATTACCTGCACAAGAACCAGACAAACTCCAGTCAAAATCTATCAAATCGCTCTCAGTGATTCCAAAATCTTGACTAGGAAAAGTTCGCAGAGCCTGTTCTACGCTAGAATCTATCCAATTCTATGCAAAATACCCAAAGGGAGTGTATTCTAAAAGGCATATTCGGTTTGGCGCTCAGTGGAGACTCGAGATCGACTTCTCCTAGATAGGGACACCCCTATCTCTGTTGGCATCGATGACTGACATCATTGGAACGTGGTTTCGGATCATGCTGGAGGATCGAGAGTGCCAAGGGACGGTTAAACGGCGAAAACCTACTCAATTGATTGGGGCCTGGACCTGTGATCAACGGCGACTCTAAAACACTGTCGAGGAACAGATCATCTGAACATTGGAAATGCGCCAGGAGAGTTGGGACAACCACCGCTGAGGCCATATGCACAAGATACGAGTTATAGGTGTCAATCGAAAGCTGGGGAGCAGAGCTATCCACTTATCCTACTCAAGATCGAGGGATTCTTCACAAGACAAACTAGATGGTCGCGAACACGGAAGATTTACACAGGTCATTGACTCCAATACACGCGATACCAGTCATCTGGACCTGGATTTTCGACTCTGGGCCGTATGGCGAAACGATACCTATACAATTATGCACATGGACTACTTTTCTTACTTGAGATTTTCCCTGATTCTATCAATTTCTGTTTAGTATTTATATCTCTGTTTTGTATTTGGCAGGTTTACGGATTGCCCCGCTCTACTAGGTGCATCTGGGGATCTAGCTCATCAATCTATCTTGCTAGCTCTTTTGAAATAGTATCATCGCGTCGGAAGGATTATTGGTTGAGGGTTTCGGTTGCTGAATACAAGAGTTCCGGTTGCTGTTTATTGGGTTTGGTTGCTGGTCGAGAGTTTAAGGCAGTTAGATCCTGACTCGAGACAACTCAGAGGGTTTAAGGCAGTTAGTCCTGATCCAACGAGTATAAACTCTCCGGGCATCGTATTGGCGCTTCTCTATTGCTGAGTTTCGTCGATAGTACGCTTTGGGGCACAACAAATCAATGTTTTTCGCAAGAAACTCGTATCAACCCTACAACCTTACACATTTGTGCCAAGGCTCTGTTCACAGGGGTCTGTTCTCGCACAAGGAGTCGACGATATTTTGGGTTTTGTGACTTTTCCTACTCGACATTATACAACTTTCTCTCTATCTCAAGTGGAGTTTTGGTTGTTTTTGTTGGTTTGGTTAGTTAGAGGCTCATTTGCTTTGTCCCCCACTCCGCACTCATCATCTGGAGCCCACCGCGAGGGGTGATCGAGTATTGCTGAAACTTGGTTTCGTGCAATTTGTGACAAGCAAGAAGAAAAGCAAGCGCCCACACGCTTGGATCGAACGTCAAAATACCACCAAAAGGGAAACAGCGAGATCTAACTGATTCCCAACCAAACGATTTTCCGAATCTACTACGCGGAGTTGGAGAACTGAGACCGACACCGTTATTCGTACCAAAACTATCTGCGAACGCGAAACCGAGGACTACCCGTAACTCGCAAGGCGATCGAAATCGGACAATCCCGACAAAATCGACAAAAACTCAAGCATCTTCGTCGAAAAGACCGACTCAAGCATCAACACAAAAGCGCGTTCAATCGAAATCTACAACAAAGCGCAAAACCAACACAAAATCAGCGACTGTCATTCGGCTCACGATTAGTGGGCCCGGAGCCTATCAGAAGTGACTGCTATAGGTGACTGTACCCCGGCCGGATACGGCGCTACAGCTACAGCCAGTATGACGCCTCACCAGAGCTGTACCATACTGTACCAGCCACCATCAAGCCCTGGTACAGTACGGCACCGTAGCTGTACTGCCATACCACTACAGTATGGTGCTGAGCCCTACTGCTCTGCAGGCTGCTGCACATTGTAGGAGTACACAAACTGTGCAGCTCTTACTTAATCTTAGTGCACAGGTAAATCTAATTCCATGGGTGCATGGAACTGCTCTACAGGCTGCTGCATATGGGAGACACACAGAGATTGTGCAGCTCTTACTCAACTCAGGTACACAGGTGGATTTGGTTGCTGGGAAGTACAGGACACCTCTGCTGGCTAGCTTATTTCTCAAGGATCCCCCTTGGATGACCCCCAATCCTCATACTATTTCCATTCTCCTCAATGCTGGTGCAAAAAAGAAATATCCAGTCATCTACAACCCAGTATTGAACCCAAAACACCATCCGGTCAGTTCTTCTGAACACACCTTGTGCCCGATGAAGTTTTGCGTGCAGACGGCGCGGCCCTCCGGCGCGACGCCCGCCTCTTTCTCCACCTTGTTTCTCCTCCTTGCCCCCGCTCGAGAAGGCGGAGACGTCCCAGTACTTCAGTGTCGTGTCAAGGCTGCCGCCGATCAGGGGCCCTGCCCGCAGAGCCCCGCATTACGCGACGCCTGCGCGCGATCTCGTCACGGGCCCCCAAGCTGCGCCTCGCGCTCGTACGGCGCCTGGCAGATGATGTTGAGCTTGTTTATCTGAGTGTTGGATGTGTCTGCCTCAGGAAAACGGCATCCCGCAGCAACCACAATCGGCCGCGACGTGCTCGTACTCGGCCCGGAAGCCGCCGTCAACCAGCTCGACCACGCGCTGGCTTCGACTGGCGTGGGGATGGGGACGGTGGCCCGTAGCACCCGAGGCCTGCACTCAGGCGGTGTGAGTGGCGGTGGGGAGATAGAAGGAAAGGGGATTGAGATATACTTATGTTTGTTGTTGCATATCTCCGCCGACATTCGGTTCTCGCTCGTTGTCTTCTCACCTTCAAGGTTCTAGAATTCTTCGATCGTCGCTGCTTGAATAGCCAGACGGATGGTGGTGTGGGTCTTATAGTAATGTGTTGGCACTATAAGACCCCTTTCTTGCCCCAGAAGAGCATACTGAGGCGCTAATACACACACTGCATGGTTCTAGAATGCCACAGAGTGCCGGCCGCACCAGTCGGCGGGTCCCATATCTTGAGTGACAGAACGTCGTTCGAGTGCGTGCGGGCGGCGCTTGACCCACCAGCGGCGCGTCGGGAATCGGCGGTGGATGAGGATTCAGAGGAAAGGCCATCGGTCATGACGGGCTTCTTTCCCCCCTTCCTCTCTCCCGCCACCCGCCGTCGAGAGGCAGGGAATCTTGCTGTGGGCGTCTTTCGCGCGACGGCGCCGATGCAGTAAGTATGCGTAGGGGCTGTGATTGGCGGGGGGCGACGTCGAAGGGAGGGCGGCAGACGCTGGGAGGGCTGGATGTCGGAAAAGAGGGTGGGTGCGCGTGGGCTTGGAGTGTGGAGGGGAGGCAAGCGAGAGTAAGTCGACGCCCATCGGGAAATACACGATGCGAGTGCCGCACAGGAGTTGCGGGAGATGGGGCGCGACGGAGAGGCTAAGACTTAAGCTGTGAGTAAGCACAAGCCACGCTGACTCGGAGGTGAGTACTTGCCTGAAACGATGGCGCCAGCCGACAGCGGCCACTCTCAGGAAGCACATCAGCGCGTTTGGCGGCGATCCCGCGCGCGTCGTCGTGTCTATCCATGCCGCCATGTCTATTTTCCTAGTTACTCTCGTCCAGCGGCAGCCACAGCGCCGGTGCGATCCCTGCGTCGCTTCTCTTCCTGCATAACACCCGGTTTGTGCCGACGCAGCTGTTCCGGGGCGGCTTTATAGTCTGTGCCTTGTTCTGTAAGTTGTTTTGGTACTGAACCAACAGTCATCGGGGGCGCCAATCACCACGCCCCGCACGTCCGACGGGCAGCGCGACTACGACACGCTCGTTGCCGCCAACAACTGCACGCTCACCGACGACACGCTCCCCTTTGCCGCATTCGGCGCCACCGTCGGAGCGTCCGTCCTCGGCGCCTTCCACGGCAGCGAACGTCCCGCTGTGGCTCCCGCCGGCGCCCGATGTCCCGGCCGCCTCCGCCGGGGCCGGGGCCGGCTTCGCGCCGAACAACACGCTGAGTCCGCATACCTCTGCCTCCATGTCGGTGCCTTGCTGACGTCGCTAGTAAACTTCGTCAACACCCTCGACCCGAACAGACCCGCCGCTGATGCAGTTGTGGGCACCGTCGGGCTGTGGTGCACTGGTGGCCGCGGGCGTCCACCGGTATCTGTACGCGATGTTGCTCGCGGAGGCGACGGCCTGGGTGAAGCCGGGGCTGTACCCTTGAGTGGACGCGGAAGAGGGAACGGGTAGCGTGGAGGTGAGGCGAGCGGGATTCGGGTAGAGTGTGGCATGTCAAGACCCGGCGAGAAATATACGACAGTGCGAGACTGCGAGTGTCCCCAGCGGTGGTGCAACAGGCTGAAGCTGTGAGCAAGCACAGCGCAAGGCTTGGCAAGTACCGTCTATGACAGATTTCGGGGCTTCAGCCTCTCACTTTCGCGCTCCTATGTTCGCGCTGGCGCTGCCCGAGTTTGAGCGAGCGAGACAGGGACGACTGGCGCGCGTTACGAGGTTGTCCCGCCAGTCCTATGATCGCGGCCCCTTCTTTGCCGTTGTGCGCGCGCACTGGCGGCGTGACGGTGGAATACACGTCGCAGGAGAGGTGGGGAGTAAAATGGGCCGGCTGCCAGTGCCAGACCTGCTGTCGATATACTTAGTGCTCCGCGATCGTGGGAGGCGCCGAGGCGGCCGTGGCCACTTCCAGACTCGGAGCCCGTCACCCGACATGGTCCACGGTGTGTTTTGTCCACGAGGGATAAAGTGACGGTGAGAGTCAAGAGAAAAGAAGATCAAGACTCACCCAATCAGGACGCTCAGATCAGCGTCGGACACTTGTCGGATTCCCGAGATTCCCGGCATCAGCTCAATCTGTCATCGAGCAGGTGCCGACTCCCACGGCCACCGCATCTTGCTCTTGACCACCATCGACCCTGCAATGTCTGTCGTTAATGTTATAGGTAGGGTCTACCCTGGCTGGTGGACTGCTAGTGACTGCTGTAGGTGGTACTGGGGGAGGTGGAGGCTCTGGTGGGGGGCATGGAGGCGATGGCCATGGCCCTCAAATCCATGTGACTGGAGATTATACCCAGTGTGTATGATGCTTTGCATTGTATATCATTCTGATATGAATCTATAGCATACATGGAGCCAGTACTGAGTGTAGGTGTAGCAAGCTTTATGCATCAATAATAATCTATTACAGTCCAAGAAGACATGACCCTGATTCAATGGATCTCACCAATCAACTTCTTCCTCCGTCATCAGGCCATCTCTGAGATCCGGAAGAAGAATACTGGTGACTGGCTTCTGGAGCATCCAGAATTCATGAAGTGGAAATCAACAACAGGGAGCATACTTTGGTGTACAGGGGATTCGTGAGTCTAAAAGACACATTTGGTTACAAAAAAACTAACGATTGTTGATAGCTGGCATGGGTAAAACAGTGCTTGTGTAATGGTTCTGGGTTCTTACAACTATATGTACTGAGTATTGTTTGCAGATCCAAAGTGGTAGACTATCTTGCCCAGCTCCAGCAACTGGAGGAGAATTCCAAAATTGGAGTGGCTTCGGTCTATCTTAACTACAAAGAGACAGAGCTTCAAACTGAGAAGAATTTGCTGGCAGCTATCTGGGGACAGCTAACCATAAACAAGGATATGTCGCAGGCCAGAAACCTCCATAAATCCCACAGGAGCAAAGGCACACATCCTAGTTTGTCTGAGATCCAACAGCTTACCTCAGCACTGGTTGCTACCTTCACAACTGTCTATATTGTGGTAGATGCAATGGATGAATATCAACATGGTGAATACCATCCATTACTCATGCAGTTTCTCCACTTAGGAGGAAATGTGAATATTATGATAATGTCTAGGCCTCATCTTATTCTACCCTCACAAATTTCTGTTGTCAGTCTGCAGTTGCAGGCAGATGAAAGAGACATGAGATTATATATCACAACACAGATTGATCATCATCAAATCCTGAAGGAGTTTCTATATGAGAATATCAATCTTAGAGAAGAGGTGATTAATAAGATGATTGTCAAGGCTAATGGCATGTAAGTGTGGACATTTATTATGATATAGCAGGCTTATTTATATACAGGTTCTTGATGGTACAACTACAACTCCAGCTTCTGAGTACTGCTCTAACAATAGAGGCACTGGAACAAGCTTTGGATGACTTGCCAGATGATCTGGGTATTGGCTATGGCAGAACCATAGATTATATTAAGCTCCAACCAGAAAATCAAGCAGAACTTGCAATACTTGCTCTGGGATGGATTTCACATGCAAAACGTCCACTAAGGGTCATTGAACTGCAGACAGCACTCGCTATGTCAACAAAAACCCCACAACTGCCAAATGATAAGCAATTAATTAGAATAGGCCATATTATCAAGATATGCTGTGGGCTCATTACACATGACAAAGGATCAAATGATGTGCGTCTTGTACACTTTACCACTCAGGCCTTCCTAGAGAAGATCAGATCTGCTGAGTTCCCAGATATGGATGTTAGGATCACACATACCTTGTGTATCTATGTGCACTTAGTAGATGAGCTAAATAGTGATAATCCTCTGCTTGAATATGCCCAGAATATTCTGTTTCATGCAAAGGGTCAGGGAGAGGTAGTTCTTCAGTCAGAGTTGATTCAATGCATAGAACATATTCTAGTGAGGAATTACATGCATATTGAAAAGTATGGCTGGTGGTCAGAGCCATGGGACAACTTAAGGGTCGCAACATCAACAATAACTCCTCTGTCTATTACAGTAGCAGGAAATCTACTCCAGTTATCACCATATATTTTAAGTTCTATAAGAGGTCAGGATATAGCAATTATTTTTGCAGCTCTACAGGGTCATGAAGAGGTGTGCAAAGTACTGTTTGCGAAGGACAGACAAGGAGCAGTGAATCTGGTGGATGACTTTTATGGGACTGTGTTACATGCAGCTGCATTGGGGGGCAACAAAGGAATTCTTCAATTATGTATAGAAAACAATTGTGAAGTAAACAAGATTGGTGGAAGGTATGGAACTGCTCTTCAAGCTGCTGCCAATAAGGGACACACAGAGACTGTACAGCACCTGCTCAAGTCAGGTGCACAGGTGGATTTGGTTGCAGGGGAGTATGGAACTGCTCTTGAGGCTGCTGTATTTCGGGGACATATGGAAATAGTTCAGCTTTTACTCAACTCAGGTGCACAGGTAGATCTGGTTGCAGGACACTATGGAACCGCTCTTCAAGCTGCTGCATATGAGGGACACATAGGGACTGTGCAGCTCTTACTCAACTCAGGTGCACAGGTGGATCTGGTCTCAGGACACTTTGGAACTGCTCTTCAGGCTGCTGCATATGAGGGACACATAGGGACTGTGCAGCTCTTACTCAACTCAGGTGCACAGGTGGATCTGGTCTCAGGACACTTTGGAACTGCTCTTCAGGCTGCTGCATTTAGCGGAAACACAGAACCTGTGCAGCTTCTACTTAGCTCCGGTGCACAGGTGGATCTGGTCTCAGGACACTTTGGAACTGCTCTTCAGGCTGCTGCATATGGGGGACCTACAGAAACTGTTCAGCTCCTACTCAGCTCAGGTGCACAGGTGAATTTGGTTGCAGGGTACTATGGAACTGCTCTTCAGGCTGCTGCAGCTCAGGGACACACAGAGACAGTGCAGCTCTTGCTTAACACAGGTGCACAGGTAGATCTGGTTGCAGGGTATGATGAAACTGCTCTTCAGGCTGCTGCATATTGGGGACGCACAGGCATAGTGGAGCTCCTGCTCATCTCAGGTGCAAATGTGAATTTAGTTGCAGGATACTCTGGAACTGCTCTGCAGGCCGCTGCAACTGTGGGACACATAGAAACTGTGCAGCTTCTACTTAACTCAGATGCATATGTGGATCTAGTTGGAGGACATTTTGGCACTGCTCTTCAGGCTGCTGCATATCAGGGAGGCACAGAGACTGTGCAACTCTTACTCAACTCAGGTGCTCAGGTGGATCAGGTTGCCGGGTACTATGGAACTGCTCTTCATGCTGCTGCATATGGGAGAAACACAGAGACTGTGCAGCTCCTGCTCAACTCAGGTGCACCGGTGGATCTAGTTGCTGGGAAGTACAGAACACCTTTGCTGGCCGCCTTATATTCTTTCAATTCCCCTCGGAGGCCCCAAACTAACATCTATCACATTATCTCCACTCTCCTCAATGCTGGTGCAAAAAAGAAATATCCAGTCATCTACAACCCACTAACACAAAACACCATCTGGTCTCTTCTTCTGCAACCACATGAGGGAACCCATATCTTGACACCAGACAAACCATTGATCTGCACTATGTGTGATTTGGCCTGTGGAATAGCTTTCCCTCGCACTACACCATATTATTCTGATGTGTATGATGATGGCAAAGATGATGATGACAATAAGAATGTGGATTAGGGCTTGGAACTTATAGTGACCACATGTAAATGAAAAATTTATTTATACTGATGTTAGCATTATCCAGTCAGTCAATTCCCAATCCAATACGGCATACACCAAATACCCTCCTCCTATGCATAGCTCCACAACCCGCGCCAAGCTGTCCCCGCTGCCCGTCGCGAGCAGGTTCGCCGCGGGGCTGAGGTCGATCGAGATGACTGAGTTCTTGTGCCCCTGGAGGAGCGCGTGCACCGCGCCCGCGCGGTCCCAGAACTGCACGCCGCGGTCCTTCGAGCCGGACACAATCCACTGCGCGTCGTGCGAGACCGCGACGGAGAGCACGTAGTCCTGGCCGTAGTTTAATATCCTTTGAGAAATAAATAAAAAAAAGAGAACAGACCTTGTGCCCGAGGAAGTCCCGCGTGCAGACCGCGCGGCCCTCCGGCGCGACGCCCGCCTCCTTCTTCACCTTGCCCCCGCCCGCGAGCGCGGACACGTCCCAGTACTTGAGCGTCCTGTCGAGGCTCCCGCTGATCACGCCGCGCCCGTCGGGGGTGAACACCACGCTGTACACGCTGTCCCGGTGCCCGCGGAGGCGCTCCAACAACACCCCGCTATCCGCGTCCCAGATCCGGACGACATTGTCCAGCGACCCCGCGGCGACGTACCTTCCATCCGGGGACAGCGCGACGCTCGTGACACCTGCGTCCTGGCCGTCACGTGTTCCGTCGCGGCTGGCGGCCGGGCGAGGGCGCGGGCTCGTCGACGGCGAGGATGAGCGGCGGCCCGCCCGTCCATGTCCCACACGCGCGCGGTCCGGTCGCCCGAGCCGGAGACGATGCGCCGGCCGTCGCGCGAGAAGTCGAGGGAATATATTTCTTGCGTGTGGCCCGAGAAGATCTGGGCGACGGTGCCTTTGGTGATGTCCCAGATCTGCGGGGCGGGGCGGGTTAGTCAAGACTCGGGTGCAAGCAAGATAAATAAGGAAAGAAAACACGCCCGCGGGCCGCCGACAACATCGCCCGACACTGCTGCACCGAGCTTGGCACAACCTCCGAGAACCAAGGCAAACGAAGGCGGGGAGGACGGATGCCGAAAGGAGGGAAGTGGGCGTGGCTGTCGCGCAGACAAGGCCGGGGCGGAGTTCGGAAGAGCCGGGCGGGCCCGTGTACCGACCGTCACCATCGAGTGGATGCAGAGGAAGAACAACAGAGGCATGGCAAAAGGGAAGGAGAGCGAGAGACGACCACAAGGAAGGAACGAAGAGATAACAGAAGAATTGAACAAGCGGCGACTCACCCGTATCTTCCGGTCCTCCGCCCCCATCGCCAAGAACCGCCCGTCCGGGCTGAACCTTACACTTCGAATATACAAATCGCCTGCCGGCCCGCTGACGTCGTCCACCAGCACGCTTCGCATTTGTCAGCACTCGACAATGGTAGTCATGTGGAGACAAACCTCGTCTTCCTGCCGGTCTTCACATCGAAGATCTGCGCCGAGCGGTTACACCCCGTCGCCAAATAGCGCCCGTCCGCGGAGAACTGGACACAGCAGACGACGCTGTTCGCTTATCAGCAAAGCACGCGCAGGGATGCAGGGGGAGGAAAAAGAAGGGAAGCGAGCGAGCGACCCGAGGGAAATGATGGGAAAAGAGAGACGCCAACAGCAGCAGAACACTCACGTCGCATGCGCGAACGTATGCAGCAGCTGCACGCTCTCCAACCTCCTCGGCCTAATCCTTGGGTTCCACACCGCGAACCAGTCCGCGCCCTCCTTCTTCATGTCCGCGGGGAGGCTCGCGATGTCCAGCCCGTCGACCCACGCCGGGAACGGCTCCTCCTCGCGGTCACGCTCGCGGTCGCCGCGCTCCTTGTCGGTCTCTTTCTCCCGTTCCGGCGCGGGCATCAACGCGAGCCCAGAAGTAGAAGCGGCCCCAGACCGGAGGAGCGGCATCGGCGGGAGCGGGAGGTGCGAGTGGTCGGGTAAGCGATGCGCCGATGTCGATGCTGCCGTCATCGGGCGCCCGGGGCTCTCGGCGCTGAGACCGGTAAGGTATTCGACATCCACGCTCGACAGACGTCACATGCAATTTCCATTTTAGGAAAAGTTGCCCAAATCTCCCATAGTTTTTTATGAATTTTTATATCCTGCACATATTTGCTTCATATAGCCCAAAGCTTGCAAAATATGAAGAAATTGGCTCAATCAATACATTTTTGGGCTGTCGGGGGTCGAGTTTCCTTAAGCTTGATGTCCTGTCACTTGATGGTCACACTCCTCTCCCCGAGGTTGAATCTTCCACAATTCGATTTCAATCCTTCCAAGAATTGGTCGAGTGGTATATGTAGGGCTCTTCTTTGCTCAACTGGCTTTATAGACAGTTCCATAAAAAATTACTGGAAAAACAGGCCTCTCACCCCAAAAGGGAAATTCCACGTGACGTCTGTCGAGCGTGGATGTCGAATACCTTAGGTGGTGGGGCGGTACGAGAGAGTGCGTGCGGGCTGTCGTGCTCTGTCACCCATAAGCGCGGGGAACGCACAAATAACGTGGTATTAGGACACACCTTTGGTCAGCCTGAGGCGCTTGGCGTCGCGCACGCCCCCGCGGTCCCTCTCCCTCTCGCGGTCGCCGTCCCGGGCGCGGTCGGCGGGGATGCCCGGCCCGCCGAGACCCGGCCCCGCGCTGCGCGACGCCTGCAGCTCGGCGCGGAGGTGCGCGATCTCCTCCTCATAGCGCGTGCAGAGCTTGCCGTGCTGCGCCTCCAGCTCGTACAGCGCTTGGCGGATGATGTTGAGCTCGTTTATCTGGGTGTTGACTACCTTTGGATCAGCGAGGGCGGGAAGAGATGAGAGAAGAGGGCAAGACACACACCCTTGTTCTCATATTCGTCCCTAAGAGCGTAGGCCGTGGCGCGGTCGGCGACGAGGCGCTCGTATTCGGCGCCGAAGCCGCCGACGAAGCCGGAGACAAGGTCGGCGAGGTGCGGGGACAGCGCGCTGGTGGACACGACCCCGGTTGGCGCGGGGAGGGGCACGGCGGGCCCCGAGGGCTGTAGGGTGCGGTGCTGCCGGCAGGGAAAGGTCAGCAACAGACTGGTGGTGGTGGGGAAGAAGGAAGGGGAGAGGGGACGCACGTTATATATCCCGCCTGACATTCTCTCTTACTCTGTTAGTCTCTTCTCTTCTCTCTCTCTTTCGTGTAGTCGCTGGGGCTGGGTGGGGAGGACGCTACGTCAGGGCAGGACAGGTGAGCGGAGGAAGCAAGGGCAGGGCAGGCCCAGGCCCAGGCCCACGCCCACGGCCCACGGCCCACGGCCCACGCGGGTCTTATACTGACGCGCTGGCACCACCCGCCACGCCGTTCAACGATGCCACGCGCTGAGCTCAGCTGAGCTTGTGCGTTTGTGTTGAGCACATCTACCTCTGCAAACGGCGAGTACACTTGGGGGCCCGCGGCGCCGCGGTTGGGGACGACGAGCGCGGCCACGCGCGGCGATGGAAATCTCGTTTGTCCACGCTCCCCGAGCGGCTGGAAGCCTGACGCAGGGCCCGTTGGGTCTTATAGTGACGCGTCGGCACTATAAGCACGAGCGACATGGGGCGGCGCATCGTTGTTGGAAGGAAAGGAAAGAGGAGTGTCACTATGAGTGACATGAGAGCGTCTTGGCAACTTGAATCACCTCGTACTGTTTTCCTTCTTCCCCCGCCCCGCCATCGCATCCGCACCAGCGCTGGCGCCAAACCGGTGCACGGGAGTCGGCCTGACATGTCGGTCGTGCAGCGCGGGTATTGTAGGATAGTGAGCAGAAGAGCCTTTTTCGGCCACCGACTCCCGAGACTCGTCACTCTCGACAGGTGCTGCTTCACTGACGAAGTCGCACCGCATGACCGCTCTACTACTGTGAACTCGTTGCTACAACTGTTCGTCCCGGTTCTTTCAAATTTGCACGCATGCATGAAATCGTCAAGAAATCGTCACGTCATCAGTGGTCCGACATAGTTCCGGGCATCAGGGCAACCATGAGGCATCACTCAGTAAGCGCCCGCTGAGCCCCGCTCACACGACGACTGCCTCTTGCTCTCTACTACCATCTTGCCCATCCTCATATCCCTACTGCACTCAGAACACCAAAATTGACGATGAATTTGGACCCTGGCTCTATTCAATACATTTCTGGTATGTTCTTATGATTATTCCTTTCAAGCTGCTGCTTCATGGATACAGGGGGAACTGGTGGTCCTGGAGGCCTTGGTGGGCAACATGGAGGAAATGGGGGCCTTGGCCAAGGGCCTCAGATCACTGTGAACAATGCTCATATGTATGTGCTTCACTTTGAGACTTTTCCAGTAGTTTAACTGGATATTCAGGATATTTCATGGGGCAGAAACATGTAAGCACTGCTATAATACTATAGAATTGATATAAATAGATCAATTTAGTTAATAATCCACTTATGGACTGGATGTCCCCAATCAACTTCTTCCCTCGACACCAAGCAATTTATGAAAGCTGTCAACCAAATACAGGGAATTGGCTAATACAAACCCCCGAGTTTGTGCAATGGATATCAAGTCAAGGAGAAATACTGTGGTGCTCTGGCATTCGTAGGCTTCAACTTTAATGTAATTTTCTGGAGGGTGATGATTTAATTAGCTGGTATGGGAAAGACTGTACTAGCGTAATGTTCCGAAATTATACAGAGACAAATACTGATGATTTCATAGATCAAAAGTGGTAGAGCATTTACAGGAACAGCAAGACTCTAGGATTGGTGTTGCCTTTATGTACCTGAATTACAAAGAAACAGAGATCCAGACAGCCAAGAACCTACTTGGTGCACTGTGGAGGCAACTTGCAATTGGAAAGAATATTTCAGACGCCAAAGATCTCTACAATTCACACCAAAATAAGGGAACCAAGCCAAGCATGAATGAGATTCAGCAACTATTAAAGTCTTTAGTAGCAGACTATCATACAGTATCTATTGTGGTGGATGCTCTTGATGAGTATATAGCTGACAGCCATTCCAGCCTTGTCAAGTACCTCGCCCACTTGGGGGATAATGTCAATCTTATGATAATGTGCAGACCCCATGTGTCTCCACCTTTTCAGCTGCCAGTTACCTTTCTGCCAATTCAAGCACAGGAAGAGGATATGAAACTGTACATCTTAACACAAATTCAGGAGCATGATACTCTGACAGAGATTATATATGAGGATCCTATGTTAGAGGAACAAATTATCAGTAAAATCATACTGAAAGCAAATGGAATGTAAGTGAAGGGAATTTGGTAGAAATTTTAGTATTCAATGTTCATGCACTGGCATGCAGGTTCTTGGTGGTCAGATTACAGCTGCAACTCCTCAGTAAAAGTCTTACAATTGAGGAGCTGGAAAATTCTCTAGAAGATTTGCCAGAAACCTTGGATTTGAATTATAAAAGAACACTTGAGCTTATAAAACTTCAGCCTACTAGTCAGCTTGCTCTCTTGGCCTTAGGGTGGATTTCACATGCTGTACGACCATTAACAGCCATTGGACTGCAAACTGCACTTGCAATCAACTCAAACACTGTGAAATTCCCTGGCTCTAGGCAGTTAGTCAGGATTCAGCATATTATAAAGGCATGTTGTGGACTTATAGTGAAAGACCCCAAGTCTGACATTGTTCGGCTTGTTCATTACACTACGCAAGATTTTCTTGAAAGCTTGAAATCTTCGGATTTGATAGACATGGAGCTGACAATCACACGGGTGCTAACACAGTACATTCAGCTTTTACCAAATCAAGAGGATCCTATGCAAAGCACCATAGAGATTCATTACCATTTAGGATCATATGCTCAACATTTGCTCATTCATGCCAAGGGAAGGGCAGAGGTTGAACTACAAGCGGAATTAATTCAGTGCCTGCAATATCTAGTAACATTAGAGAGGAGTGCCTTTCGATATGTATTTGGCTGGTCAGAACCATGGACCAGCTTCAAGTATGAGGAAGTAATGACATGGAAATGTATCGCAGCAGCTGGAAATCTAACCACACTGATTATGGCTTCACAGTGTGATCCAGGAGTGGCAATAGTATTTGCAGCTCTACATAGCCATCATGCCATGGTGAAGATACTTCTCAATGATAATACAGAGAAGAATCTGCAAATTGCAAGTCAATACTATGGAACAGTACTACATGGTGCTGCCTGGTCAGGAGCAATAGAGACTGCCCAGTTTCTTCTTGACTCAGGTGCAAAGGTGGATTTGGTTGCAGGGGTGTATGGAACTGCTCTTCGGGCTGCTGCAGTTCATGGACATATAGAAACTGTAAAACTCCTGCTCAACTCAGGTGCACAGGTGGATCGGGTTGTAGGGCATGACTTGCATGAGGGGACTGCTCTTGAGGCTGCTGCATATCAGGGACATACAGAACCCGTTCAGCTTTTACTCAACTCAGGTGCACAGGTGAATTTGGTTGCAGGGGCGTACATAACTGCTCTTCGAGCTGCTGCATTGAAGGGATATACAGAAACAGTTGGGCTCCTACTCAACTCAGGTTCACAGGTAGATTTAGTTGCAGGGCGCTATGGAAGTGCTCTTCAGGTGGCTGCATTTCAGGGACACACAAAGACCGTGCAGCTTTTACTTAACTCAGGTGCACAGGTGGATATGGTTTCAGGAAGGGATGGAACTGCTCTTCAAGCTGCTGCATTTCGGGGACATCTAAAGACTGTGCAGCTCTTACTTGACTCAGGTGCGCAGGTGGATCTGGTTGCAGGTTACTATGGAACTGCTCTTCAGGCTGCTGCTGCATATGAGGGAACTAGAGATACAATTCAGCTTTTACTCAACTCAGGTGCACAGGTGAATTTAGTTGCAGGGCACTATGGAACTGCTCTTCAGGCTGCTGCAAATCGGGGGCATATAGGAGTTATTCAGCTTTTACTCAACTCAGGTGCACAGGTGGATTTGGTTGCAGGGGAGTATGGAACTGCTCTTCATGCTGCTGCATTTAAGAGACGTTCAGAAACTGTTAAGCTCCTGCTCAACTTGGGTGCTCAGGTGAATTTGGTTGTTGGAAAGTACAGGACACCTTTATTAGCTGCCTTACATTCTCAGGATTATTTTCTGCACCCTGACATCCATCCTACTATCTCCATTCTCCTCGATGCTGGTGCAACAAAAGCATATCCAGCTCTCTACAACCCAGTCACACAAAACACCATTTGGTCTCTTCTTCTGCGACCACGTAAGGGAAACCATATCTTGACACCTTTCAAACCATTGATTTGTACCATGTCTGACTTGACCTGCCAGATGGCTTTCTCTGGTATCATACAAAATGATGATGATAATGATGATGATGATGATACTCAGGCTTATGCCAATAATATTGTGGACTAGAGTTTGATGTTTACCCTAAATTTTTAATTGTGTCATGTCACCTCAGGCTACCCCTACCTGGTACCTCTTAGGCTTAATCGAACCCACGGAACCCTGGGCCTAAGAGGTACCAAATCCATGGTATCACCCATGGGGGTGGTACTATCCACAAATTGTGGATGGTACCATGGTGCTTTGCCTGATTTGGGTGGCGGGGTGAATGGCTTGTAGCTCGCTCAAAACTGGCTCAAAAAATAAGCGCTTTAGTGCAGCCGGTAGGTCTCCTCCTGGGCTCTTTGATCCAATCACCTAGTGACGGGGAAGTTGCTGGTTTGACTGGAGGATGGCTTTTGCATATTTTGGGAAAAATACCCTTGCAATAATTTTTGCCTTGGCTTTTGGGTTGTCTGCTTAGCACTAGAAAAATGAGATGTTTTTGCTCTTCAAAACAGGCCAAGTCTCATGAGATTTGCTGGGCAGACTATGGAGTTTTGAATATTTTTTTTTCATTTTTCTGGCTTTTGATTAGTTGGCAGTTCAGGCATGATAGATGGGCAGTGGGCAGCCTAAAGTACATGGAAAGTGATGTACAGTATGTGTGGAGTATGGACTACATGCCCCCCCCACCCAGTTGGCCATGCTCCTACCCCTTGGACTTTGCAGGGTATTGGGCACTGGGAGCCGATCGGCCATCACTGATGGCATCAAGCCGACCGGCATGTTCGATTTGGATGCATCCATGGTGCCAGGCAGATGGGGCCATGGATGCATCCATCGCTAGGCTTGATACCATGCATGGATGCATCCATAGGTAGTTTTGAAATTATTTGTGGTACCATCCATCTCACATGGATGGTACCACAGTCATGGTTAATACCATATATGGATGCAACCACAGTCATATGTGGATGCAGCCATAGGCAACTTGGATCAAACTGTGGGTACATCCATATGGACATGGTTGCATCCACATATGGATGGTACCATAGCACATGGTTGCATCCATGATATGTTCCAAATTGGGACATGGATGTATCCATGGGACATGGTGGCATCCACACCTCCTGTATGGATACATCCATGGACCAGTGGTACTATCCAAGGCCCATATGGTCCTCTATGTCCCTGGTAATACCAAGTAACCTTACATCTCAGAAGGCTTTCAATATGTGGAGAAGAGTGAATTCTATAATAATTTATCAATCAGTAGGTAATGTCAGATATGCAGTATATATGAAACTAAGTACACCACTAATGGGCCTGTAGCTGATGTACAGCTGTTGTTTCCAGCTGGCACTGGCTTACATGACACCCACCTGGCAGTAGCTGTTGGCCATGAGAATGTCAGATGCACGATCCAGAGGCCTGAGGACCTCCTGGAAAATTCCGCACTGGACGTCAATCAGATGATTGATAAGCTTTTTTTATGACAGCGCTTATCTCGCGCCCTCTTCCCTCTTCCCTCTTCCCTCTTCCCTCTTCCCTCTTCCCTCTTCCCTCTTCCCTCTTCCC